AGTTTTTTCAAGCTGAAAGGAAAGAATGCTAGTGAGTAACACAAAAACATTTGAAAGTTAAAAAAAAAAAATTCACTGGTAAAAGAAGTACACAGTTTAATTCCCAATACTCTAATATTGTAATGGTGGTGTGCAAATCACTTAACATATCTACTAAAGTGAAAGTTAAGAGACAAATCTATTAAAATAATAGCTAAAATAGTTTCAGAGATATGTGATATGTGGGCCATTATGAAAGTTTTGAGATACACAAAAATCAAAAGACATAAAATCCATGCAGATGGAAACAAATGAAGCCCTCCTAGTAACACCAATAAGCCAAGCAAGTTGAAACTTGCACAGGTATACCAGAAATGATGCTGTCAACCATGGGAGTAAAATAATGGACCCTAACACAGTCTGTCCCAAAACTTTTGTAGTGACCCATGTACAAAAAAATGTAAATTGTGATCTCAAAAATAAGAAGTGTGGAGGGAAAGTAGAGTTAAAATGTAGTTTATGGGTGTGTGTGAGAGAGACAGAGAGATATCAAAGATGCTATCAATAGCTATAGACCCTATCATAAGACACACTAAAAATAAAAAGCAAGGAATCAAAAACATTCTCATAGATACACCCAGAATAACATTGGACCAAATAACTGGGACCCTACGCCCCAGACAAACCGACACATAAAATGAACCATTATATCAACTATCCGCTGGGTTCTCAGAGTACAAAATGAAAAAAGTTTCTGTCCTCATGGGCTACATCCTATTGAGGTGGCCATATATATAATTTTAAACACTGTCACAAGCTATTAATGTAAATCAAGGAGATATAGGCAGTATGTGAGGGGAGGTATGGGTGGGAGTAGACATTAAACCTTATAGTGAAAATGCAGAGGGTCTAAAAAGTCTTTGAGCTTATGAAAGAAATTGCAGTTAAGCACAAGAAGAGTAATTTGATATCAAGGGGCAGGGTGACACATAAAAGAGAGGCACTAGAGGCAGGGAAACTATCTGAGAAAACACATACAGGGTTTAGGAAATATATAAAAGAAAAAAAGATGGGAAGTGTTATGGACTAAATGTTTGGGTGCCCCCTTTCTCCAAATTTATATGTCGAAATCCCAATACCCAGTGTTACAGTATTAGGAGGCAGGGCCCTTGGGAGGTGATTAAGTACAGAGGATAGAGACCTGAAAATGGGATAAATACCTTTATCAAAGGTATTCCAGAGAGCTTACTTTTCCCTTTTCAGCATGTGAGGACATAATGCTAAACTTGCAGTCTTCAGTCCACAAGAGGGCCTTCACAGAACTTGACCATGCTGACACCCTGATTTCAAACTTGGACCCCACAGAACTGTGAAAAATAAATTTCTATAGTTTATAAGCACACCAGTGTATGGTATTTTTGTTATAGCAATCTGAACTAGGATAAGAAGAAACAGTTTATCAAGTATCTGTTATGTGTAGTACATACTTTTAGGTATTTTCACATATTAGAAATAGGGAAGTGGCAGAGGACATGAAAAGGAAGCTAAATACAAAAAAGATGTTACAAGGAGGTTGATCTCAAAGATTTCACAGTTTATTTTGTGTTTATGTGTGTATGTATCAGCATAATCACATGTGCTTGAGTAGGTAGGGTTGAAAAACAGAAAGGTCTGAAAAGATCTAAGGTTTCAAGTATGAGTAACCATTAACATTAACAGTGGTATCATGAGGAAAAAGGACAAAAGAAAGAGAAAAAATGGGAAGGAAAGATGATGAGTTATATCTTTAACAAAAATTAGGCATCCATGCAAAGCTGCTCAGTACATAGTAGTATTTCCTACTAGTAGGGCTAGAGGTAAAGAGAGAAGTTATGCTAAGAGAAATGTAGAAAGTGATTATCTGCAGAGAAATAGTACCTGAAGCAACGAGATTTATTTTGGTTACTAATGGAGAGATTATAGACAAAGAAGATAAAATCTTAAAAACTCTTATACTTGAGGGAGCTGTGCTGTTCAGTATGGTAGCTGCTTGCCACATGAAGCTATTTAAATCAATTCAAATTAAATAATTAAAAATGTAGTTACTTAGTCATACACGCTATATTCCAAGTGCTCAATAGCCACATATGGCTAGTGGTTGCCATACTGAACGTCATCAACATAAAACATTTCCAACATCATAGAAAGTTGTGTTGATCAATGATCAATAGAGATAGGTCAAAGAACAGAAGAACCCGAAAAATCTAGTCTCCTGAAAGCCAAAGAAAACAACGTATCAAGTAAAGCATATGATAACCAAAAACAACCCATGAATTTAATGACTTATAAAGCAGTTTCAAACTAGATTTACAAACTAGATTACAACAGATTTTGGATGAATGATGATTAAGTAGAGTTAACTGGTATAGACAACTCTTTCTAGAAATTTTTCAGTGAAGAAAAACAGAATGAAAACCCAAAAGAACTGAAAGAGAATAGAGTTGTGTATATAAATGCTCAATATAAGCTCATTTGTGGACTCACTAAAAGATGTGAACACAAATCAACCAGCTGTCTACCAACTCTACCAATCTGAAAGCCTTTTGGGTAGCAATGACCATTGAGGGTACAGAATCAAATAATTTTAAAACAATACGGAGCCTTAGAAATCATTAAGTCCACCCTTTATATTGTATAAAAAGCAGAGTTGAGGCCGCCCACGGTGACTCACACCTATAATCTTAGCACTCTGGGCTCGGCGCCTGTAGCTCAACCGGCTAAGGCGCCAGCCATATACACCTAAGGTGGCGGGTTCGAATCCCCAGCCCGGGCCCGCCAAACAACAATGACGGCTGCAACCAAAAAATAGCCGGGCGTTGTGGCGGGCGCCTGTGGTCCCAGCTACTTGGGAGGCGGAGGCAGGAGACTCGCTTGAGCCCAGGAGTTGGAGGTTGCTGTGAGCTGTAATGCCACGGCACTCTACCCAGGGGGGCAGCTTGAGGCTCTGTCTCAACAAAAAAAAAAAAAAAAAATCTTAGCACTCTGGGAGGCCAAGCTGGGTGGACTGCCTGAGCTCACGAGTTTGAGACCAGCTTGAGCCAGAGTAAGACTTCATTACTAAAAATAGCCAGGTGTTGTGACAGGTGCCTGTAGTCCCAGCTCCTTGGGAGGCTATGGCAAGAGAATCTCTTGAGCCCAAGACTCTGAGATTGCTGTGAGCTATGACACTACGGCACTCTACTCAGGACGACAAAGTGAGAGTCTGTCTCAAAAAAAAAAAAAAAAAAAAAAGAGAAAGAAAGAAAAGGAAAAAAAGAAAAGAAAGCAAGCAGAGTTGCCCACAGTCATGCACATTGCTCAGTAGTATTAATTTAAAATCCCTTATAAGAACTCAAGTTTTCCAATTCCCAGTTCACTAGACTGTCTACCTCATTCAACCGCCTCCTAAGATACAGCCCAGAGAAGAGGTGAAGAAAGCTTATTCTGTTGAGTTCCATTAATCTACCAATGTCTGTGTTTACACATAAAAAAACTTTAGTATTTTAGAAAGGAAACACAATTATTTTACTTATTTCCTTCAAAAGTTAGAAAAACAAGTAAGCATCAAATGTCTAGTATTAATAGTTTGTAACAAACATCAAAACGACTTTACATGCTATCTAAATAAATCTATACTGTAATCTGAGTGGTGTATGTTCTCAGCATTTTATAGGTTAGAAACTACCCAACAAGTCAGTAAGATCTCAAAGCCAGTCAATTTATCTTTATGGTACTATCAGTTAGAAAATAGTAGAAAAAATGGGAGAAAACAGATGGCTTAAGCGAGGCAATGGAAATGAGATGTTTAACAATGCATTAAAACAAGAATGAATTTATTTACTAATGTTAATCTTAAAAATAAAACCAAACAAAATCAGCCAATATTAGTCAATTCTAAAAATGTTTCAAGAAACTCTAACATTCTCTTTGGAGAGGAAACTACTCTGGTGGGGACAGGGACTGGAGGGTGACTTCACAGTAAACCCATTGTAACTTTGGATTTTAACCTTAATCTATTGCCTATAAATAAAAATTGCTTTTAAAATGGGTGGCACCTGTGGCTCAAAGGAGTAGGGTGCCAGCCCCATATGCTGGAGGTGGTTCAAACCCAGCCCGGGCCAAAACCTGCAAAAAAAAAAAAAGTTGCTTTTAAAATAACCCTTCATGTTTTAGTTCATAGTAATAGTTTATAAATACTAGCATTCTACAGTACTCCCTGATATCACAGAAACACTGAAATTTCAGGAAAGAAAAATCTTTACTTTCTCTTGTGAAAAAGCAAGGCAGGGATTATGCTAAGCTGCAGAAAACTTGCTTGCCTTGGAGTTGGAGGATCAGGATTGGAGAGAAGCCTTTTAGTCTGTAACAATCAACTCAATTCCATTGCTGTTATTTTTAGTCCTTTTTTTCCAGTCCGTCGCTAAGAAACTCTACTGCCTGAAAGTAATTTACTAATAGAAACTAAATGAAGCAAAGAGATAAGAAATTATCCTGAAATTATTTCAAGTTAGGCCATTCTGTTTTAATCAGTCCATTTTGGTGTCGCTTTATAAGTTATCTTTCAATTTTCTTCTTAAAAATATCGTTAATTCCAAACAATGCCTTGCAAGGGTAATTTTGAGAGATCTGATGCAGAGCCTGGGAAAAAGACTTGACAAAGCTAGTACAAGTATGAAAGCTGTTCACTGAAATAATGATTTAGGGATAAGAGATGTGTGCTGAGACAGTACTGCAAAACATGGGGGTTGGCGGACCAGAGCACTGGGGAAGGCACGGGTCCTCCAAGGAGCAACATGTGGGCTGAGGTGTCAGGCAGAAACGAGCTCAAGACACATATACATAAGGAACGCTCGAAGCAGGTGGTGGATTTCTACCAACTCAGTTCAAGAAGCTCTTATCACAGATGACACCGCTTTCGTAATCGGTGCAGACCGTGAGCCGCAGGGACTGTTTCAAGCCGTTAAGTCTCGGAAATATGTCCACCTAGTCTTTTCGCCACCTACCTGCCCATAACCTGAAATTAGTCCAAACTAACATCTTGCTATGGTAGTGACAAAAAGTCCGATGATATAGCAGACTATCTTCAGCTCTGAGCTCTTTTCCTCACACATCTTTAAAACCCTTTCCAATCCGTTGGTTTCACCGACACGCGGACAGAAAACCGAGCTAACGGCCAAGGTCTGAGAGGCGCCAACGTGGCGGTAACGGGAAACCGAGATCCAAAAATCTACCAATAAACTGCGCAGCTCGGCCTACGCCCCGCCCACCATTCCTGCCAGCCAATCACCTTCACAACTCTTCTGCCACTCCCGCCTATTCGCAGAGCCACTGCGGAGCCTTTTCCTTGGTTCTGGTGGGCTGCACACTCAAGCCGGCTATTTACGCGCCCCCTCTTCCACTTAATTAGGCAAGAAGGCCATCTGCCCTTCTTTCCTGAAGGTGGAGGGAACAACACTGGGCACCACAGGAGACCCAAGACCCCTGGAATGATTCTCCCAAGCAGCAGCAGGGCGAAAGGAAAGGGAAAGAGATTTCTAACCCTTCAATCCCACGCCCACACTTTTCTTTAACCCGGAAGTGATTCCTTCCTTCCTTCCTCCTCTTCCTCCTCCTCCTCCTCCTCCTCCTCCTCTCCTACGGTTGAGAGGGGAGGAGAATGACGGCTGGGTCTGCCCCGGCATGCCTTGGGCTTCCGGTGACCTCTGGCCCTTCTCTGTCGTCCGCTCTTACTACCTAGCGTGCTCTTTCGTTCATTGCCTGCCTTCCCTGCCTCTGGTCTCCTTTTACACGCTGCCTGGTTGACTGGCGCCCGCGACTGGCAGGGAGGCAGTGGCGGAGGACACTCGTTATGGCCGCCTCTAAGCCTGTGGAGGCGGCAGTGGTCGCAGCAGCTGCACCCAGCTCCGGCAGTGGGGTGGGCGGCGGCGGCGGGTCTGCGGGCCCGGGAACAGGGGGCCTGCCGCGATGGCAGCTGGCACTGGCTGTCGGGGCTCCCCTGCTGCTGGGAGCGGGTGCCATGTACCTGTGGAGCCGACAGCGGCGGCGCCGGGAGACCGGAGGCCGGGGTGACGCCAGCAGCTTGAAGCGCCACAGCGAGCGGAAGACCCCGGAGGGTAGGGCCAGTCCGGCCCCCGGCAGTGGACACCCCGAAGGTCCCGGTGCCCACCTGGAAATGGTGAGAAGCAGCCCTGGGCCACAGAGGTGGAAACTGGCTGGTGCAGCTTTTCCTTGATGGGCTATGCCCGGGAGGGGGCTTCCTACCAGACTGAAGCTGCTAAGCGCAGGAGTTTAGGGAGACTTGTTTTCTGGCTGCCTTTGTAGGGAGTATAGTAGCCCGAAAGGACAGGTTAGCGGCATTCTTTGACAGTTTCCTTTTGGGTTCGGAAAGATTTTGTATTTTTTCTCAGTGACACAGCATTTATTCCCAGTGTTGGAAGCATGTCGAGCATGTGCACATATCTTGACTTTATTTTATTAACAAGTGTAGGAAGGCCAAATTCCATAACGATTGGTACGTGGTGATGTGAATTGCTTTTGTGATTTCCAAGGCCTACAACGTAATCGGTAAGCATCTTTAATACAGCGCCACCCCCCCCCCCCGGAGTTGGGTGAAATGGGCAACTGCACTGACGGTTGGTTGACAAAAGCACACACACAAAAAAAAAATCTAAAGAGCAAAATGATATTTAGTGGCTTTTTTTTTTTTTTAAATCTGTGAGTGTGAGTTCTTAAACTTTTTGGCTGAAAATATCTTAAATTCATTTTTCTGTTTGCGCACACTTGGGAATGTGCGTGACCAAACCTAGCGTGTGTGATAGATTCTCTGATGTCAGGCCAAGCATTGGAGTATCTGGTGGACTGCTTTGTATGGTTTTGTTGAACCATTAAATCCTTTTGGTATTTGACAGCTGTGCAGAGAATTGGCCTGGCTGCATTTAACGATACTGGGATTGGGTGGGCTGGAAGATTTTATTTGGATCTGGAGTTGTATAATGGTAGTACCAGAGTAAATCAGAGTTCAGAGGAAACTGGCCAAATAACTGCCAGTTATATATAAATTTATACAGGGTGGCCATAAAGTTCGATTGCACACGAACTTTATGGCCATCCTGTGTATGTGTATGACTTGCAGATATAGTTGTATATACACATATACAGACTTGCGTGTGGTTTTGTACATATGCAGGTTTCTCTACACTTACATACAAATGCAGGCCATTTGCACTTTATGTATTCAAGTTGAAGACATTTTGACTAGGTAATCAAATTAGCTTTAAAGGGAGTTTTGATGTAGGAATGATGACTGTAGTTTAGTGCCTCCAGTGTGTAAGGCATTGTGCTAAGCCATGAAGGAGCCATATGAACTTTCTTATGGGAGAGTGAAACCTCACCTATTTTCTCAACATAGAAAATATGTGTTACAGGATAGTGGAAATACCTGTGGACTGAGAACTAGGATATGTATGCATAATATTGGGCTCTCCAGGATTCACTTTGGGAGTCATTTTATCTCCTTGACTTTAGTGTCATCCAGTAGAATTAAGAGGATTAAAATATTAAAACTCTTTTATTCTAGCACGAAAAATTGGTGATGCCAAGTACTGCTAGTCAGAGTGGTTATCAAGAGTCTTTGAATTAGTTATCAAAGTTCTCAGTTCTCTAGTCATTAAAAGTAAAGATAGTTTCTACACATGAAACTAGATTTTCACATTTTATTGTAGTTTCAACCACCCCACCTCATCTCAGGGATTCTGTATTACTGGTGTTTGATAGAATTTAGCAAAGTCTCTTTCAGATTTTTAATTTTCTTAATTCCTTTTTTTTGGTTTTTCAGCATTGTCTGGGTTAACACTGATGATTTTTACATTTCACAGTGTTTATTCACTTGACTGTTAAAAAGTAGACTTTTAAGATTGAATTCATTTGTAATTTGAACTATTTTAAAATGATTTCTTATTTTTGACCCAAAATAAAACTGGACAAGACACCTCCACATACTATTGATCATCTAATGGAATTTTCCGGCTTAGAACTGTAAACTTTGACTAGTTTACTCTTTAGTAAAGTAACAGAAAGAATCTGTCTTTTCCATTTTTTAGTGGAAATGTGTATCTTAACTGTTGGTGGCCGGTTAATATTGCAAGACATTTTTTTGTCTTTTTTAATAGTCTAGTCTTTAGAGTTATTACTAACTACCTAAAAATAACTGGAGATAGCATCTTTGAATTGGCAACCTCGGTAGGTTTTGTAAATAGGGGAGCATGTGTTTCAACTGATGGAAAAACTGACAGAATCCTGTTGCCCTAACTGTTCTGTCTTTACCTGAGCAATAGCTACAACTTTTAAGGGAATAAAGGAAATGACATACATTGTCTGTTCAGGGTTTGATGGTACCAAATACAATGGAAAATCAGTGATTTTTGTTTTTTAGCTTAAGTTTGCCTTGATGTAAAATGAACTAATAGAATTACTAGGCTTTTGTCTGTGGAGTTTGACATTGTCACGTGCAATGTAGACTATATTCA